CATCCGAGCACGATCATACTCCCGAACAAATCCCTCGGTACTCAACAAGGGCAAATCATGGTCCGACACATCCCAATACGACTCCTTACCGTCGCGATTCACACCATAGGTAAACAATTGTTTCCCTCCTCCACCATGGAAAGCATAAGTCTCCTCTGGATCTACCCGTGGACGCTTAGGCACAGCCACATACTCAGTATCCACCCTCTTTCCCTTGCCACGATCCCTCTTCGGTGGACGCTCTTCCACTACGCCAGCACTGCTACGATCATCTGCTACTACTCGAGGACTTTCTACATGAACCTCCTCGCGAGGCAAACCATTCGAAGAACCGCCCAACTTAGAGGGAACCTTCTTCGATGCCTTCTTCGACGTCCCATTCGCCTTCGCTCGAAGTGCCGCAAAGGTGATACCACCATCTGCAAAAGATAACAAACACATAAATAAGAGATATACATGACCAAAGAACTACCAAAAAAAAAAAAAAAAAAACAAAAAAACAATTCAAGGCAACAAAAGGATATACGATGCTGACCCTCCACCGTCGGTATCAAACTCCTCGGATCAAATTCCACATCGCACAACCCAGATTCCTCAATCCTCTTCGCCATATTTGCAGTTATCGCGAAACTCTCACACGTAGGATTCCAAACTACGGGAACGTCAAAAGTGGGAGCCCTCACGTAAAAGAAATAGGTCTTCCATTTCCCCAAAGATAGCTTCACACTCTTCACGAATTGGTAATGAACGCGAGGATGAAAGCAAAAGAAAGGCATCTGAGTGGGCCGATGTAACGTAAATAACGCCTTGAATAAACTCACAGACACAGGCAGACCTACTCGAACCACCCTAAAATGAAATGCCTGGAACATCAGAACAGCAGTGGGCGTTAGCTGACTGTACCCAATCTTGAATTCCTCGCAAACCTTCAACAAGGTAGGATGCGGTGTAATCTGGGATGTGCACATCAAGTACCCCAAAAATACCGTATGAAACCCATTAGGTGGCGAATACAAGCGATCGCCCTTCCTAGGCAACAACAACTCCACATTACTCGGCGCTCCAGATAAACGACGAATAGAATGCAACTGCTCTTCAGTCAATACACTGTCAAAATCAACTAAGTCCAAATTAATTAGCTTCTTTTTCTTTTGCCTTCTACTATCGACCTCAACATCACCCGGCGGAATATCATCTTCCTCCTCCTCCTCGACCATCGACCCAACTTCACTACTTGACACCGGATGTTCACTCGCCAAAGGAGCTTCATTCGAATCATCGCTATCACTCCCAAAATCCAAGACTTGACGCCTATAATGACGTCTACTAGAACCCACTTCATCAACGATAGGGGGAATAGTAATATCCTTATGCAATTCTACATCGTCACTCCACGATTCAATGATTTCTCGCCGATCAAAACTCCCTCCGTTTAAAACACCACGCACATCGGAACCCTCGGAAATTCGCCCTTCAATTTCACCCGAACCGAACCCAAAACCCCCCTCCGACGCGCCCTCACGCGCGCGCGGAAGCCCACGAGCAACTGCTCCACGCGCGCGCGCGTCCCCCAATGCAGAGTGGCCGCGTGTCACTTTCCCAGCCCCAGACGCGCTCTCACGCGCGCCCTTTCTCTCCCCAACGCGCGGCCACGCGCGGGCAGCAAAACACCTTCGCACGCGCGCGCGTCATCATCGGCATCAGCACCAGACGCGCGCGCGCGTCGCCTCACTCCCAGCCCAGCCCCGACTTCTGCTTCATCGACACGTGGCCCAATGGCGCGCGCGCGTCCCTCAACCCCTTCAGCCGACGCGCGCGCGCCTCTCTCCCCACCTGCAGCCGAGCCAACAACTCCCCCATCGGGCTGCGCACCCTCACAGCCGTTAGAAGAGCCGAAAGCCTGGACCAAGCTTTTGGTTCTAGCCGAGCCATCGCGGCCAATAGCCTCCCCTCTCCCATTAATTCGTGCACCTCCAGATGTAGATCCGATTTTCGCACCCGATACCACAAGTTTCTCGCGTTCCATGCCCACGGAACCAAAAGTTTTCTTGCCCCCTTCAACCGGATCTCGAAGTTTAATTCGCAAAGATTTCGAATTACCCGAGTTCGACATGAGAAAATTTTCTCCTCGAAGAAATAATCAAGAAACAAAAAATTTCTACTCTACCACAAAAAAAAAATTTTCAAGAGAAGAATAGCACAGAAGAAGACTTAGAATAAAAGATACATACCCATACTTATTACGCAGGAGAGGAAGTTTATCTCTTTCTACCGCACAAGAAGTCTATTTATTTGGCCCTGGTATATTATTTAAAACCCTTAAATATATACCACGCTGCCAAATAAATACAATTATCCCTTATTTAAATTAAGAAATTAATTCACCGCCAACGGAAACAATTCAATCCCCGACGAAATTAACTCTCGACACGACCCGGATTCCTCAACACAAGTCCCCATCTCGAATCGAGAGTTGGGGGGCTTAATGATATACCTAAATGGGCCGGCCCAATGGGCCCTCAAATATATCTACAAATTAGGCCCACTACACGAAAGCCCAAATACCTTCAAAGTAAGGCTTGGGCCCAACAAAGTAAGCCCAATCCAATCACCGAGATATAAATAGGTGTTTTACTCATTTGTAAAGGTACGTTCTCATTATTTACAATTCACCTCGAGTTTTATTCTCTCTACTCTCTCTACGATCCGTACATCTGACTTGAGCGTCGGAGGGGTTTCCGCCGGATCAACCCCCGGCTTAGTTCACGTGTGCTCTTTTCGCAGGGACCTCAGGATCATCGAGTTATCAAGCTACTGATCCGCTTTGCTCTCCCAACTCATTTCATATACCCCCTAGGTGAGCTACACATTAGCATCATCACTGGTGGATTCCAGAGTTATCGTGTTCGATAGGATTAATTCGTAGAAATTAATTCTTTACCGTGCTTCCGTTCTGCGTCATTTAATTTATTTAGTTAATTAATTTGACAACCCTGCGTAGGCTGAATAAAAATCATAATTATTAGGATTTGGTACTTAGGATTAAATAATTTGCGTATTCCCTGTGGGATCGACATCCGACTCTCACGAGTCTACTTTACTACTTGTTTGCGATACGTACACTTGCGTGTTGGTATTTAGCACCCAACATGCATCATTCACCAAATTCAAAGAATGGTTGATTGTCATTGAGCATAAGAATAAGAATAAGCTCATTTGATAATTATGATTTCATGCACATCAATTAATCTTACGGGTGTTTGGTTGTGTGGCTTATGCACACATTAGATGTTTGAACTTCTTGCAAAAGCCCTCCAAATTTCTATCATTATCAAAATCAACAACTATATAGGTCAATATGTATGAATCATTTGGATCCTTGCACACAACATAAAACAAGCATCCCTTGTACTTATTATTAATGTGAGACTTGTCCAAATATATCATCAACCTACACTGACGAAAATCAGAAATAGATCCCCCAAAACTAATAAAGATCCGAATAAACTTTTGACTGACTACAGAGTCAATCTCGTAATCCGCAATGCTACCAAGGTTATTCATTTTTAATGCATGACAATAACGTCTCAATTTATCATAACAGGTCGCCTCATCACCATGAATGTCATACATTGAGCCCTCTTTCCACAAAAATTAGGATCATCTTTGCGGCTGACGATAATGTCAACCACACTCATCTTCATTATCAAATGCAGTGAAATTATATTCTCCACGTCATCGTCACAACCCAATGTCACATACAATCTTTCCCAATGAGCCAATTATTGAAGGATCAATGCATCAAGATGGATATTGCCCCACTTTCTTATAACGACACCATATATCATAATTTTGGCATAAATGAATTGAGTACTACGGCAAGGGCATTGCTGAGCGGTGTCAGGACGAGGGAGGATAGTGTTAGGTCACGGGTTCTATTCATGTTGGTGATGCTTCTACACTCTATAATTCTCAATTTGATTGAACATAATCACTTATTACTAATTTCAATGAATTGAGTTTACAATCATGGTTGTCAGAACCGGACCGCACCGTCCAGACCGCGACCTGCAAGACATTCTGAGCCGGTTCAACACCTAAAACCAGAAAATTCGAAAGCCGGCGCGAATTGGTGCCAACGGGACTCGACCGTGTAAAACTGGGAAAACCCTGATCCCCTATAGAATCGGGTTTCAAAGGAATAGACATACTCCATTCCAGTCTCGAGCCACTATATCTCCGATGAATACACCATTCATAAATCAAAATTGATCTTGATTGTACCTTTCGTTGGTAGTTTCCATTCGCTAGGATGAATTATTATTTTCCCTACTTCCGGAGTTCTTTATTCCTTGTTTCCCATAATTTCCAAACAACAATGATAGTTAGAAGGAAGATATCTTCACTCCATGTGAAGCGAAGTCGAAGTGAATGCATGACAGTTATCGAAGCGAAAAGGTTGATCAGTCTAAAAAGAATCCATGCTTCTACATTATAGAATCACATGAAGAAAAGTTTCCCCCTCCAGCACACATCGGCCACAAATAGGAGAATCTAATCTAATATATTTCACCTAAATAGTTCCGCTTGAGATGCAAATATATCCATCCAAGCATGCTCGCCACATAAATAATCGAACTTTTTGTGGGATTGAAAGACCACAAATTATGTACCAATTCCAATACATAATCCATATGTTGTGCTAGCACGACCGCAGAGTAAATTTCATGTGGTAAGAATAATACCAAATCCATATGCCCTTTGCATAACGAGCTCCGACTGAATTATGCGCTCTCGATTTATGGGCCATAAAGCCTCATCAATTAACATTACATTCGATGTGCATGTTGTGGGAATTATGCGCTCTCGATCTAATTGTTTGATCAATTAGAAATGAGACTACGTCACATAAAATTCAGCATTCGCTAGCTACCAGTTTCATATTTTCATCAACCCATAGTGGAGAGAGATGCATTCTCATTTGAAAAATAAAACAGCCAAAGAAGCGCGACGAGACAAGCTATATATAAGTGCTGAAATTACATACGCAAATTTAGAATCTCCATAAAAAATGGAGACAATCTACAGGACAAAATAGTCAGCATTGAATAACTTTGAACAAAAGCCACAAAAGTAAAAAAAGACAAATCTTGGGTTCAACAAACCGGTAAACAACAAACAATTATTCCGACATCTCTTTCTATCCCTGTGGAGGCAATAAAAAATGGGAAACAAAATTAGTAACTGTGATTAGGTTAAAAATGATTACCAAGAATTAAATAATGACCCTACCTTGTTAGCAATGTTGTTGGAGAGCCAATCGAGCCCCTCGTATAGCCCTTCCCCAGAGGTGGCACATGTACTCTGGATATACCTGCACGAAATTCCAAGAGATGCATTTATATATATATATATATATATATATACACACACACACACACACACAAGAGAGAGAGAGAGAGAGTACCAATGGCGCTGACGGAGAGAGTGAAGTCCAAGCTTGTCAGTAATCTCAGCAGCATTCATGGCATTTGGAAGATCTTGTTTGTTTGCAAATACAAGAAGCACTGCATCCCGAAGTTCATCCTACACAGTACAAAACAAACAGTTGTCGAAAAAAACCCGAGAGATTTTAAATTTCTTGTTTGAACCACAAACCATCTATCTGGACATGGGTTGAATATTACCTCATTCAACATCCTATGAAGTTCATCCCTAGCTTCAACAACACGATCTCGATCATTACTATCTACCACAAAAATAAGCCCTTGAGTGTTCTGAAAGTAATGCCTCCACAATGGTCGGATCTATATATAGAAAATGTATCGGAATACACAACAGTCAGAAGCAGATTTTAATTACTCAAAAGATGAAGAAGCATTGAAGCTAAAAATAAAAGTAATAATACAGCACAAGTACATAAATTAATCCATCATAAACTTTTAAATAAAGAACAAAACAAGGTAAACTCGAAGTACAAATACATATATAACAAGAAATTTGACTAATTAATTTCACCATTTAAATCAGTTCAATTCAGTAAAGGTCAACCATCTGCACAACAAGGATTTCAGACCAACAGAAAATGTAATATAGAACGTGTAATCTGATAATTATACCTTGTCTTGACCCCCAACATCCCAGACAGTGAAGCTAATGTTCTTGTATTCCACTGTCTCCACATTGAATCCTGCACGAAATTACGAGAAGTTCCAAGATAAGCCAGTTGGATATCCTATGTATGCATATGAATTGATGAGAGGGAAAATCACGATTTTTTTAGACTAAAATTTCTGACATATGTTTCAAAACATCAAAAGTGACAAAATACCGATACACCAAGAATTAATAAAAATTTATGACATATGTTTCAAAACATCAAAAGTGACAAAATACCGATGAACCAAGAATTAATAAAGTGACAAAAGTGAAAAAATACCGATTTTTTACCATTAATTTGGATTTAGAAGGGTAATTAATAAAAGTTCGGTGGGCTAAATAGATATATAGGTATAATATAGGGGGAAAATTATCAATTGAAGTGGGCCACAATATCATACAACTAACCAAACAATTTAAACTGAAAAATATCAATAAACAGAAGAATGTTATTGGGCCACAAACGAAACAAACGTACCAATTGTAGGAATGGTGGTCACGATTTCACCAAGCTTGAGTTTGTATAATATAGTGGTCTTACCAGCCGCATCGAGACCTACCATAAGAATTCTCATTTCTTTCTTTGCAAACAATCTGCTGAACAACTTGCTGAAAGATAACCCCATTTTTAGTCACCTGTTGCACCCAAAATATAAAAAAATTATATTAAAAAGCTGTGAATGACAACAGTCGGTATGTAATAGCAATACTTGGGAAAGTAAAAACGCCTACGGATTTATAATTTTATATAGTAAGAGCAACTCCAATAGGGAGATATCAAAATGGAGTATCAAACACTTAATCGATACTTGATGTAATACTTTTATATATAAAGATTATTGGCCAATCCCATGATGCAACTGCGAAGAATTTACGTCCCACTTCGATTAGTGTATGGGGGGGAACCTATTTCGGAAGTATCGAGCAATATGATTCAAGAAGGAATTACTGAAAGTAAACCACTTTGATATCGTAAAACTAAATTTGATCGATGAACGAAGGAGACCAAAGTGACCTCCCACCAGAATTTAATCAAATCGGACCTTTTTTAGACTCTTAGGCCTCGTTTGGTTGTCAAGATAAGATTAAATAATCTAATCAAATCCCATCATATATTGGACCTTGGAAAATCCAATAGAAAGCATAGAAGGCAAGATAATGCATGATAGCATAATATTTACAGGTCGACCCGTCAAATTATTGGGGATACGAAACATCAAACAAAGTCCAATTATTTAGTTAATAATGGCTAATCTCCCCAACCAAACGAGGCCTTAGTCTACATTCAAATTCAATCAATACTGAATCAAAAAGACGTTTCTTCGAACAGGTTGCGAAATTTTCACTAACGGGCTCGAATGTGATCTAACGAAAACCACCCATTCAACGCACAGGAAATTCGGGATAAAAAAAAAATCGCAATTCAAATATTGAAAATTAAATTCAAAAAGCTAAAAGCCAGCCAGTCATATGATCAATTACAGTGAAAATAAACACAAGGCTGATTCAATTCACGCGCCTAACAAAATCAGATCAATCAATTTTTACATCCATGGTGTACAGAAACAACATTGAGGAAATGAATTTGATTTTCAGATGTCCAGATCTGCAATCTTATTAACAAAAAACCACAGAGCATACACAATGTAGAGAGAGAGAGAGAGAGAGAGAGAGAGAGAGAGAGAGAGAGAGAGATGTTACCGGATGAAAGGAAAGACGATTGATCTGAAAATGAGAGAGAAGGGCAGATCTTGGTTCGGAGGCTGCAGTGGAGAAACCAAATGCTGCTGCTATTGTACGCTACGATGAATGAAGAGTTGGGGAATTTTATTCTTGGACCTCCTTTAGAATATTAGAATTACTTCTGTGCTTATTTTATTATTATTATTATTATTATTATTATATATATATATTTTTTTTTTTTTTCCTAGGATTTGGTGGATTTTTTTTAATCCGATTGTATACAAAAGAATGTCCAAATAAAATTTTGTGAAAATTAATTTAAAAAAGAAAACGTCAAATTTATAGAAAAACAGTTCCATATTTTATAAGTTTTTTTATTATTAGCATCATGGTTATCGGATCGTAAAAATATCTCGTATCGTTTTTCTCCATGTCTCGTATCGTATCGTTATCGTACCGTATCGTAAGATATTTAACCAACTATTAAATTAGTAAAAAATATATATCTAAATTATAAAAATATTATATAAATCTGTAAAATTTAATATAACTACTTATTTCAAAATAGGTATAAATTCAAGTTTCAACATCATATTATAAAATATGACAAAAATCATATATGTTCATCAAATAACATCATCTAAGAGGGTGTTTGGCTAGGAATATAAGACGTTAAATCGAGCTTATAAGATGTTTAAGAGTTATTCTAGTGTATTAGGTAATTTTTTTAAAAGATCTTAAAAAGTCAAAGTATTATAGGCTACTGGAGAGCAAATAAGATTTTTTTTAAAAAAATACTTTTACCCACCTATTTATTTAAGGTCACATAATGAGTAAAATAGCTTGTAAGATCACTATCCAAACAATTGAAAAAAATAATTTTAAAAGTAAGACGTAACAACTTATCAGCTCTTAAAACAACTTATCAGATGTAAGAGTTTATCAACTGTGTAAAATAAGCTTAACCAAATTGTCTCTTAGTTCAAATCCGAATACCTAATTTCTAAAATATTCGATATCTCATAATTTTGAAGATCAATGTCACTTAATTCGTCATCATCTACCAATTTTAAACGATTGCATTCATCATCATCAATCGCAAAATCCAGCAAAAAAACGCCTCGAATTGGTCTTGAATCGCAAGAATATATAGAAATGGAATTATGGTTGTAATATTGTGAGGGTTGGTGAAGAAATTGAAGAGAAAAATGTGAATTAGGGTTGGGATATTGAAGAAATCTGTTCTAAAACGTTTTTCAGAGTAGTTGACTGCATTTCTTCTTCTTTTTTTCTTCGTTTTTTTTCATTTTTTTAAAGGTCGACTAATATCGTCAATATCGTATCGTATCGTGATACAGCGATACGATACGATATCTCGCGATATTTAACGGTATTTATCAATCGACGATACATAACCCGAGTTGTATCGTTTTGATTGGAACCATACCGTATCGCGATATATATCGCGGTATATCGCGAGATTAACTACCATGGATAGCATTAACAAGTGTCAATATATTAAAATTCAAATTCAATGTACCATAAAACAAGAAACCAG